CCTCCAAGAGACAGGTCAGAGGTGTTCTGCTGCTCTCTTGGCTGTGTTTTGGAGGAGCCTGACCTCTTTGGATCTGTCAGGTCCTTTTCAGTGCACTAAAAGGGCAGAAAGTTTTCAAAATAAAATCTGTGTTTAGAAGAGAAGGAAGACTGAAGTGCCCCATATGATTTATGGTCATGAGCCCACTGGAGTCAGAATGGCTTGGGTTGGAAGGGACTTTAAAGATCACCTTGTTCCCACACCCCTGTCATGGGCTGTCCATGAGATCAGGTTGCTCAGAGCCCCATCCACCCTGTCCTTGATCATCTCTTAGCTTAGTAACAGCAGCTGTGGATTTAACTGAGCCATGTTTCACCTAAAAATCTCGATTCTAACATTTTTTAGTATGCATAATAACAACATTTAGTATGTATAATAATAATTTGACTACTGTGATGAACTGCTGGAGCTGTATTGGTTTACTGTAGGGGAAATATAACCTAACAAAATCCCCCAAGCCTCCTAAAGTCACTGAACAAGGCACAGAAAAGGAGCAGTAATTGCTCTGGCCTTGTAAGAGCTTTGCTAAATGCAGATGCCAGTTTGCAAAACCTAGTTCACCTTTCAGTTGCTTTTTTAAAAATTTGTTTTACTAATGTTCCCCCCCCCCAGGTACTCAGGTAAACTTTTTGGTTTTGGTCTCTTTAGACTCCAGGAACACACAGTTGGATTCTAGAGCTAATTTGGAGTCCAAGCTTCTAGAATAAACAGCTTTCTAAGTGATTTCTTAGTGCTCTTCTTGCATGCTTTCTTTACCAACTTGCTGGCTCTATAAAATGTTGAGACACTATATTAGAAATGATAAGGAAATTAATGATTGTGAGGCACTGGCACAGGTTTCCCAGAGCAGCTGTGGATAACCCAGCCCTGGAAGTGTCCAAGGCCAGCTTGGATGGAGCTTGGAGCAACCTGGGATAGTGAAAGGTGTCCCTGCCCATGGCAGGAGGTTGGAACTAGATGGGTTTTAAGGTCCCTTCCCACCCAAATCATTCTGTGATTTATTCTTTGTTGTAAAGAAGAAACTGTGGGTAAATACAGCGATTTCTCCTGTATATAGAACATGCTAATTATGTGAAAATGTAAACTGAGGAGAATAACAGAGTTACCTTCCAGGTTTCCTGACTACAGCAGTAGTCAAGCCAGGCCTTCTTCAGGGCACAGTACAATTACTGTTCTTAGATACAGATTTTATTGATGTTTTAATCATCAACAGTGATGATTTGTTAAAGGGTAAAGGAATTTTTGAAGTAGTATTTATGATGATATAATTCCTTCCTTTACCTGAAAGTAGTTACAATTAACTGCAGCTGTAATTCCCCAGAAATCACTTACATAGGGTGTGCAGTAACTTATCTTGGGTGTAAGATATGAGTAGATGAAGGTAGCCTGAAGTCCAAAGTACCTCTTGCTAACATACCTTCCACCTAGTGAGACTGGTTTGGACTTTGGTGACCTTTGAAAGCCTTTGGGTGAAATGGAAACAACTTACCTGAGAAACAAAAGTTAATAGTATCTGTGTACACACATTAAACTCTCCCAAAGTAATTAGTGAATTAAAGAATCACAGATTAGGGCCCAAAAGAACCATTTACACATAACACTGATGAGGGTTTTAAGGACTTCAAAGCTTAGTTTGGATGGAATGATCAGCTCTGCTTCCAATGAAATACAGCTGTTGGGTCAGGTAATTCTGATGATTACAGGTTAAAGTACTGCATATTTAATAGTAATGTTTCATTACTTCAAGAGCTGTTTAATTAAACAGCTAAGCACTGGCAGCTAAAGGCAGTGTCTGTTGGCAAGTGTTCTCCCTGTTCACTGCTGAATGAACCTTTCCTGACAGTGTGGTGGGATCTGGGAGCATCCTGTCCCTGTCAGCCCTCTGTCCCCTTCCCCTGCTGCCCTGCTCCTGCCCTGAGCACACATCTCACTCCAGTGTCACTGCACTAAGGCACGCTGCTCAAACTGTAACTGTCCAGCATGAAAAGAAACACTCACACACCACCAGGACTTTGTAGGAAGTCCATTTTCATAGGAATTCCACACGAGTTGGTTATCCAGCTTTCATTAAAGATACCATTATGACTTAACTCCCTGAAAAGCTCTGTTCTGGAGGACTGTGATTTTTGATCCAAATTCTACAATTGAATTATCATTTTCCTTCTGCTTCCCTGTTTACCTTGAGCAAGTTACCAAAAAGTTCAAGAGTTTGCTGCTGGATTTATACAGTACAGTAGATTTTGTGAATAATAGCAGTATTCTCTCATGAAGAAGTGGTATATTTTAATGGAATTCTTTTTTGGAACCAAGTACAACGTATTGCAATTGATATTTCTCTTGAAACATTTTGACGTACTTGTGACTGTATTTCTTTTTGATTGTGTACCAGTATAAAATTCAATAAAAGAGAGGGTTTGTTTCTAATTTGTGACATCTGTGATCTTTCTGTCCGTCCCTTTTCCCTATTGTAAAAGGTGGAGGTGACTTTAAAGTGAACTAAACTACTGTGCAGAGTAACAAACTCCTTGCAGGTTTGAGACTTAACTGGCCACTGCCAGAAACTTGGGCATCAAGCAGACATGGTCACAGTCCCCAGAAACATACATTTTATATTAAATATAATATAAATGGATAATATTGATATATATTGATATATTGATACTATTCACATGTGGTTATCCCATCTGAGTTAAGCAGAGTGTGAACAAGAGGTCAAACATACAATTTACCAAGTCAGATATGGGGATGGGGTAGCTTTTCCTGGAAGAAGCCAGAGAGAGAGCAACAGCTACCAAGCCAGAGGGACAGAGGACATTTATGGAGCCTCTTTGATTGATCACACCAGGAATGCCCTTAGTAACAAAACAAACTCCTTTGAATCCATGGCCGTGTCTCCAGGTGATTTCAGTTGCTGTCAGTACACACAAATATCTCAAGAGCCTGTGACTCCTGCTGTCCCCTTAAATCAATGCCACTTCCTTCTGCACAGATTAAAAAGCTTTTGCAATGTTTGTGCCTGCTAAGAAGTCTGAAAGCAGGAGGCATGCACCAGTAGAGGATGATCCTGTTACTAGCAATAGGTTTGTACATACCAAAGGTGGAATAAGCTATTTAATAAAATATATCCATGATTTATTCTTATGTTTTCAACTTGAAAATGTGTTCTAATGCAATCATATAAGATATTTAAAAAAAAAATTTGTTTTGTGCCACATGCACCTAGAAAACCCATTCTTTACATCAGTGCAGGATAAATGGCTTTTAAATTGCAAATTATAAACTAAGAATTAATAGAGCAAATAGGATTTCATCCTTTTGTTTAGCAGTTGAGTCTGAAGATATAGTAACCAGCACACTCTTCCTTACATCATCTAATTATTTATTTTTTCTTTTTTACTTTGAAGGCCTTAATTGTACTAAAATGTACTAATGAATAATTTGAAGGAGCATTGAAAACACAAGTGATTAAGAAGAGTATTAATTAGTCTAAAAATTGGTAGTGCATTAAATGTTATGTACCACACCTGAGAAACTGTATGAAGAGACCCTGTTACTTGGTTTTATTCTTCTGCATTTTCATTCTTTACATTGTACCCAAACTTCCTGCAAGGGAAGATTCAGGGCACATTCACACGGGCACAACAGCCTCATCCTCACTACATCTTGCATCATGCAGCCCCATCTGCCTTTGGGAAAAAAAATCCATATAGTGTTCCTTGAAACATCATCTCTGAGAAATCACCTCACTCACTGCACATTTATAAAACAAAAATCAGAAAACACACTCTGAGCTTCACAAATTCAGCACCACTCCAGAGCCAGGCTCCTCTGCTCCTATTAAATTAAGGGATGACTCCTGTAAGTAAACAGGGCTTGGTTTGAGCTGTGTGTAACAGTGAACTCGCTCCATGATGTGTCACTTTTGACTTACTTGTGCTTTGAATCCTTAAATCCATTGCAGGGGGGGAGAACATTATATCTGTTTTCCTACCAGTGTTGGCATTCTGTTCCAAAATCAGTACAATCTGTTGAAGTCAGGGTCATGTACTGGATGAATGGGGTCACTGCCCTACCTCTCTAAACATGAATCCAAATGATAGATAAAAGTGCCTTTTCAGAAAAAGGAAAAAATTGCAAACCAAACCCTGGCAGGTGCAGCTCTCCTGCTAAACCCTGTACAGTTCATATGCAACAGCTCTGCAAACACCTCTGTTCCTATAGTCAATGACATTGGCAACCAGTGGTGCTCAAAGGCAACTGCTGTTCAGCCGATGGCAAATCACCTCCTAATAAAGGCTGCTAAGGGTTGCACTCCAGCAACCTTTTGGGAAATACAATAAATATGAAAGATGTTTGCATGCCTGGAGCACTGTGGGAGCTCCTGACATTGTAGGAGCTGACAGCTTGATGTGCCTTGCTGTAAGGAGCGACCTTTGGATCAATTACTTGATGCTATTGGTGAACTGGAGAACATCACGGTACCGTAGCCAGCAGAATTCAACACTCATTTCGCAGTGTATGATTATTTAAGAAAGCAAAATATGAATTTTTTACCCGGTCGCTGGGAAAACTCCTGCAGATTTAAACACCCCAAAGACATCACGCAAGGCTCCATCCAAAGCCCATACTTTCCCTACACGCTGTAGGGGAAGCGTGGCGTCCCCTGCGCAGGGGGGGATCCCGCACCTGCCGAGCCCCGCATCCCGTGGGTGCACAGGTACCCGGCCCGGGAGCGCTCCCGGTGCGGGTGCCGCTGTCCAGCCGCGCTCCCACAATCCGCAGCCAAGCCCCGACCGCAGCGGCAATCACCGCAACACCGCCTTGAAACCTGAGCCCCGTCCTCAAACCCTCTGGGGACCCGCCCGAGGGGCAGCGGAGCCTCCCGGGCACCAGGACCGGCTTCCCCAGGACACTGCCCGCCCTGCCCCGAGCGGTGCCCGATGCCGCGGGTCCGTACTCACCGCGGCGCGGGGCTCTCCGACGCCGGCGCTGGTCCCGGCAGCCGCCTCGGTGGCCGCTGGCCCCTCTCTGTACGTGCGGCAGGGGAGCCCCCGCCGCCCGCTCCGCGCCGCCGGCGAGGCCGCACCCACCCACCCTACGTGCGGCTCGGCAGCCGCGGCCCCCTCCCCGCCCGCCCCGCTGCCCCGGCCGCCTACGTGTGGCCGTGCATGCGGGGAGCGGGCGGCACGGCACGATATGACACGGCAGGGCAGGGAAGGGCAGGGCAGGGCACGGCATCCCGCCGCTCGGGGGGGCGGCCGCCGGCTTATCCCTGCGTGCCGCGCTCGCCCAGGCGGAATGGGGGCTCCCGCAGCCGTCGGGGTTTTGGGACAGCCGGGGGAGCAGCGGGGACCGGCGCAGGGAGCCGGCAGTGTCCCTTCACCGGAGCGTGGCGGTGTGTCACGTCCCCACGGCCGCGCGGCGCGGGCGCCCTTCCCGCGGGGGAACCGCTGCTCCCGAGCCCGCCGGGTCACGGCCCCAGAGCGCCTGTGGGGACTGGGGCGGGGATGTGAAGCCCCGCGCCTCGAGAGCGTCCCCGGGATCTCTGGGCTGTGGTACAGCGACACCAGCCTCGCCACTACTCATCCCGCCCGAACCCGCTCATCCCCGCGGGCTGCGCCCCGGGACCACCCAGGGATGCGCTTCTCGGGGGGCATTTTGCCCGTGGATCGGGCTCGCCCTCCACGGCGGGGACGAGCGGGACAGCGCTCAGGGCGGGCAGAGCGAGCGGTCGTCACTGACTGGGTCTTGCCACACGCAGCGGCACCGGGGCAGCACCGCGGCGGAAGCGCAGGGGGTCGGGACAGCCCCGCTCCCTCACGGGCAGCTTCTCCTGGCACCGGGGTCGCACCGCAGCGGGAGTGCAGGGGTCGGGACAGCCCCGCTCCCTAATGGGCAGCACGAGCAGCTCCTCCCAGTACTGGGGCCGCACCGCGGCGGGAGGGCACAGGGGGTCGGGACAGCTCCGCTGCCTCACGGGCAGCACGGGCAGTTACTCCCGGTACCGGGGTTGGGGCAATCCCTCTCCCTCACGGGCAGCCCGGGCATCTCTTCCCGGTACCGGGGTCGGGACAGCCCCGCTCCCTCACGGGCAGCTCCTCCCGGCCCCGCCCGGCACAGGCCGTGCGCAGGCGCCGCGCGGCTGTTGTGGTGCGGGAGCGCATGCGCGGAGCGGCCGCGGGGTGAGCGCGGAGCCGGAGGGATGGACGGCGTGCCGGGGCTGAAGGAGGACTGCGAGGAGCTGCTCGGAGCCTTCCAGCAGGCAGACACCGTCCGCTTCGAGCGCTTCGCCGAGCTGTGGAGGGAGCGCCGCTTCCACACCATCTTCTAGTGAGGGAGAGGGGGATGGTAGGATGGTGGAATGGTGGAGATGGCTCCCGGCCGCTCCTCAGGCCGAGCCGCCCCTGCCCCTCTCCTTCCCCTCACCTTCCCGTTGCCTTCGCCTCTCCTGCTCCCCCTCAGCCCCGAGCTCGGTTTCTCCCCGGGCTAGGCCAGCCTTAAAGGAGGTGTCAGTGAGCCGTGTGCCCCTCAGGCCTGGCTCAGGGAGAGGGTTGCCTGGCTGGGCTCTAAAGAAAGCTCAGAGGAGCATCGGTTCCTCTGTGATGATGGAAGAGAGTTTTAAATTCAGGGTATTTCGTGCATTAGGAATGTGTGTGGTTTGAGCGATGGCTCTGCAGGGAGCTTAGTGCAGTCCTCGGGAGATTTAAAAGTGTGATCGCAGGGCGTGCGTGTTTGAATCAGAATATCCTGAGTTGGAAGGAACCCACACGGATCATGGATCCGTGCCCTGTGCAGGACACCCCAAGGGTCACAGCCTGTGCTGAGAATCTTGTCCAGACTCTTCTTGAACTCTGCCAGCTTGTGATTCTTGGTATGTAGGGCCAGTAACTGGACTCAGTGATCTTTGCGGGTCCCTTGTAGCTGAGAATATTCAATGATTCTCTATTTTTAAAACATCTAAAGTTTAGATAATGTTCATAATGTTTCTGCATTATGAAGTTTTCTAAAACCTACAGTTTTATATTTACCTGTTTTAACATACTGCTTTTTTTTTTTTGTTTATTTGCTTTAGTGGTAGAATGAGAGCTTTGGAGAGGAATAAGATCACAAAGAAGACTCTAGATGTGGCCCAGCAGTACTTCTTTCCCCCCTACTCCTTCCAGATCCGAGTTGGTGCCCTGTACCTTCTGTATGGGCTCTATAATGCCCAGCTTTGTCAGCCAAAACAAAAGGTAATTGTTCCTGTGGTTTTATTCTCAGGAGATACTAAGCATAAGATATGTGGTACACTGCTGTCTGCTTTGTCATCATAAATGGTTAGGGCATTTCCTCTTGCTTTCTCAACATAAAAAATACTTAAAGCCAGATTAGAAGCTACTAGAAAATGCAGGGACAGAGAATGTGTTCTGCAGTTGTAGGGTGAACCCCATTACGGCCTGAGTTACTCTTCAGAATTCCAACAGAATGGACACTGAATTATTTCCACTTCCTGTTAACCAGAAAAGGAATTCATAAATAGGTTGAGAGAGTGAATGACACCCTCCTTGCTGCTTTTAGGATAGGAGACCAATATCTAGAGACCAATATCTAAAGGAGTTAGAAACTCAGTGCAAGGAGAAATGGCTTGCTTAGGAACTTTGTGATATATGTTGAGTGCACATGCCAAATTGAGTCCAAATTCTTTAACAAACTGAATTTGAAGTAGTCTACAATGATGCCATGATGGCTCATATTTTGACCTCAGAGGAATCAATGACTTTTTATGAAGCTGAATTTAGGCAATTTTAAAGCCACAGCTGTAACAGGGTACAGGAGTTATCCAGAAAGTTAAGCAGAAAGGGAAGTGGGCAGAGTGGAGAAAGGAAGAAACAAGGGAAAGAAAACATTTATGAGCATTTCAGTGGCAGCACAGCTTGGTGTGGTTATTGTTTCCTGATCACAAGTGAAGGGGAATGTCCCAGGTGCAGACTATTTTTCACACACTTCAGAATGTGAAGACTGAATGTTTTCAAATGTCAGAGAGGACTTGTGTTCCATGTCTCTGTCAAAGAAAGTGGCATAATAATGATCTTAGGTGCATAAAATGATGATGGCAATAACAGATGTTATAGTGGGATCCTTTCTGCAGCTCTGGACATGCAGAGTTGTCTGCAGTCAGATCAGACTGTAGATCACAGTAGTCAGCTCAGTTAATTTTTATGGTTGAAGTATTGGTTTAACAGTGTTTAACTCTTGTTGCAGATCAGAATTGCACTCAAGCATTGGCCTGAAATCCAGAAATTTCAGCTGGATCTGCTTGATGCCCAGCACTATGATGCAGTCTATATCTTCAGGAGACTGAGACTTGCCAGAGCCTTCCACTTCACAGCAATGCCAAAGCCAGTGAGTTATTAACATTAATGACTTACATTTTTAAACAAAATACCCTCATCTTTCAGTGCCTGACAGTTCGACAGCACTCATGGTCAGCTCAGCCTTGAGGCCAGTTAAAATGCAATATTGTGGCTTTACTTAGGTAGGGGATGAAGAGCTTAGAGGATGTTTGAATGCTTCTCACCTGAAAATAATTTTTAGTTTTTCAGTCTCTAATGTTCCTAATGGATTTGAGATGTCTTACCAGCTGGGGAAATTAGTCAAGGTGCTGGATTAAATTCTTAACTAGACAATAATTTGTGAAAAGTGCTGCCTCTGAGCATGTGACAGCAAAGCTGCTGTTTTATGTGGTTTTATGCCTTTCAGTATCTTCCATCTCCTGATTGATGGATATGCAGTAGGAATTTTCGGGAGGAGGTGCCATTTCAAGTTTTCTTTTATGTTACAAACATTTCCTCTTGTTTTAGCTGACCTACAGAACTAAGAAGAAGATTGAGAAAAATGATTTTAAAGAAGAATTTAAGGACCCAAGTGACAGAGTAAATAGCCTCATCACTAATGATGTACTGGAGGTACAGTAACCTTTAAACTACAGATTAATCAATGGGGTTTGCTTTGTTTTAATTTCTCTGTTGTCCAAAAGCTTTAACTTCTCTAATCAGCACTGTTGCCCTTTTGTGGAATGCAGACTCAGGTAATTTCAGCAGACACTCAGAGTTGTGGCATTTGGTTTGGAAGAATTGTGGTACCTTTTTCAATACTGAAATATGCTGTAATGTTTTGTGGTTTTGCCTCAGTAGGATGTAAAAGGATGTAAATGGTTAATTGTCACTTAGAGAAAAATGGAAAAGAGGGGAAGCATGTTTGTTGTGATACATCTGCAGGTTGCAGCTGGAGGATTGATACTTGTGATAATATGAATTTACTTATCTGCAAGTTCATAGCCTTCTCCCACTTTTATTTCTCCTTTCAAACACTGGGGTTTTTATTACATGAAAATGCATTTGATTTTTGTTATATGATGCATTTGATAAAAACCTGAATAATTCAAGTGAAGTAAAAGTTCTTATATAAAGCCAGGTAAAGGTTCTTATATCACTCAGTGGCAGAACTTTCTTTGCAGGTTTTTTCATTCAAATGTGTATCAGTAAGGTTGACTGCAGTGGTACAGAAATCTGTGAAGTAAAATGTTTCCTCCAAAGAGGTGAAAATGAACCTCAGTATCAGAATCACAGTGGTCCTGAATCACCTTTTTAGTTTAAATAGTATAAGATACTCTTTCTTCTTTAGCTTATTTGGTGGGTCAGTTCTGGTTAGCAGGATTCCTTGGCTCTAAAACTCAAATAATCTAACTACAATCAGTTTCTAACATTCCTCCTGGTCCAATGGTCTCCTTAAAATGGTTTCTATAACCCTGGGTTTGTACACTGAGAACTACTTTATTGCTGGAATCTTTTTTTTCTTGAAAGACACTTCTTTAAAATTAATTTCAGGAACTGATGAATATTCACGACCACTACCAGAAAATGAAGTGTGTCATTTCAGCTGACAAATCCCAGCCAGACAAGGCCCTGAGCTTGATAAAAGATGACTTTGTGGTTAATCTCAAAGACATAACGTTGGAACATCAGGAATGGCAGCAGAACAGGATGGTAGGTACCACCAACCACTGTGCTGTGGGGCCTTAGCAGGTTGGGTGAACATGTTAGAGCTGGATTTCTTGGTGTGATTACATCTCAGGCTGGAGGAGAGGGAACTGTGACACTGAAGGCTTACAGTGTGTGAAACCTGAGGCAGGGATGTGGTGTGGAAGAAAGGACTTGGGGGTGCTCTTGCCTCTGGGATACCACAGCTGATTGCTGATGGTGTGGCCTCATTAAATAACTCTAACACATTTCTGGATCAAAGAAAGGCCACAGTGTAAGGTAGATGTAGAAAATGGGCATGTGTGTAAATGCTTGTCTTGTTTTTTATAGTTCTTGGCTTTTAGCTGTCTTGTATATCACAGATGCCTAAAGAAAAACACTTTTTTCCCCACAGAAATTACTCCGAAATGCTGAAGTAGCTCCTGAAGCAGAAGACAAAAAGAAAGAGGAGGCTTTGCTAAAATCAGAGGTAAGGAAACTTTGCTGTGTTGCACAGGCCAGATCTGTTCATTTTTTTGACTTCAGATCTCAGGCTAAGCAGTGCAGATCAAAGTTTGATAGTGTAAAAATAAATTCCAAGGACAGCTGGTGGGGCTGGTTGCATGTTTTTGTTTTTTTTTTTTTAATTCACATTATTTTCTGTTGAGCTGTGAGCATTCACTGCTGTGACAGCTCTTACATGATCACCATTAAAAGTCTCTCTTCAGGTGAGGAGGGAAATGAGCTGTATTTTCTCAGCTAAACTCCTTTACACTTCCTCCTGGAGTTTCAGCTTAAGGCAATATTCATTTTTTTATGCTACAGAATTGTCTTATGTTGTACTTATCTGCTTTGAATTTAGGTAAGATGTGAATTTTCAAATTTGAATACTCCTGGGCTTTGTAACAGTGAAGGCAACCAAAATTATTCTCTGTTTTTTTAATGAATTTTTTTTTTCCTTGAAGTACCATTTTGGTGGCATGGAAATTCTGTAGGACTGATTATAGAGTTACAGCTGTAGTGAGCTATTGCTCAAGTGGTTGCCTGATGCAATATTTCAGTACTGCTAGAATAGGATAAGAATCTTTTCTGACTGGACTCTTGTTTCTTTACAGGGTTCTGAAAGAGCAAATGCCCTGGCCAGAATCAAATACAAGTCTTATTCTGCAGTTGTTGAGGTGAGTATGAAAATTGACAGTGGGGATGTATTTATTTTTCAAGAACAGTTTTAAGTACCAGTTTAATGTAAATGTTGGGTCAAAAAGGAATGAGTTAAAACTGCACTGTGTAATTCAGTTTTTCAATTTTTTAGTTTTCCCAACAACAGGGAAACCCAAAGCTCTTTTCTTGTTAGATTTATGGAACAATGCAGATAAGGCCTGTGCTTGGGGGATTTTCCTTTACAGGCTATCTTTTTATATCTACTCTCTGTTTAAGTAGATGGAATTTTAACAAGATGTATAAAAATACCTGAGAGTTTAATTGCTCAGATTCTTTGTATCTTAGATATTGGAATCTTGGAAGATGACTGTGAAAATGGGACTTGGGAATTTAAAGTCAGTTGCAAGTTCTTGAAAACTTTGTTTCAGTAGCTTCTCACTTAAAAGTGTATTGTTGGTTTGTCTTTTTCTTAGCAGTCCTATGAGAAGCATCTCACCTTTCTCTGTTTATTAAAATCTCATATTGAAAAATGTGTCATTGAATGAAGCTCTGGATTTTATAACAGTCCAGACTTGTGAATGTGCAGTGATGTTTTCTAGGCACTTAAACAAAGTATGATGGTAAGGAGGCTTTACAGAGCAGCAGTTTTTGGAAATGTTCCTTTTGTCTTGGGGGATGCAGCATGGCATGGGTTGGTAATAACAGAATGGATTGGGAATTAATGAATATTTCATTATTTGCATTTTAAGTTATGCACCCATTAAATCATAGAAGGGCATTGTCCTGTCAAAACTGAAGAACTGCAATTAGTGAGGGTCCTCCCTCCCTCTTTCCCCTTCTATCCCTTTTCCACCCTGACATCAGGTTGATGCTTTGGTCCCTGCTGGTTTGTCAAGTGACCCACAGCAGGATCTGGCTGTAGAAATTCAGTGTTTTTGTGTCATTCAGGTTTCCAGATCCAGGAGACATCGGCAAATGCAGTTGGAATCCTCTGAATCAGGGCCCAGTTGTGGGAAATCTCCAGGTCGAAGTAAAAAAGGCAGCAGGACACCTCAGCCAGCAAGGAGAGGTTCTTCAGAAGTTAGAGGTACTTCTCCATTGCATCCCTGAACCTGAGGAGCTTGTAAAAAATTTATCCATTGTTTTCCTAGCTGGGTTAAATTTCGCTGTTATCACTGAGAAATTACCTTTCCTAAGGAAATTCTCTTTCTGATATCCAACTCTTCAACTGATAGAAGTTGCTCTGCTGTCCAAACGCTTTGTTTACTCCTTATTTGTTACAGTTTAAATGAAACTAAACAGCAAAATGGTTTTGAATTGGCTTTATTTTTTGAATTGGCTTTATTTTTTGAATTGTCTTGACTTTTTGAATTGTCTTGACTTTTTGAATTGTCTTGACTTTTTGAATTGTCTTGACTTTTTGAATTGTCTTGACTTTTTGAATTGTCTTTTTCAATTGCTCAATTTTGCTGTTGATCACTGAGAAATTACCTTTTCTAAGGAAATTCTGATATCCAACTCTTCAACTGATAGAAGTTGCTCTGCTGTCTAAATTTTTTCTTTACTCCTTATTTTTACAGTTTAAATGAAACTAAACAGCAAAATGGTTTTGAATTATCTTCAGTTTTTGGATTGCCCTTACGTTTTGGATTGCCCTTACTTTTTGGATTGCCCTTACTTTTTTCAATTGTCTTTACTTTTTTCAATTGTCTTTACTTTTTCAATTGTCTTTACTTTTTCAATTGTCTTTACTTTTTCAATTGTCTTTTCACTTTTTCATTTGTCTTTATTTTGAAGATGGGAGTTTAATTTCAAAGTTCCAAACTCAGTTTTGAGAGTTTGCTTAGCCTCTGCTAGGGAAAAAAAAAGTTACTGAGGAATTGAATCCCTCTTCAGAGATGAGCATTAGGCAGCGTTGCCTTTGCTTGAGTTTAAAAGAGCAGATGAAGTGTTTTGGAGCAGTAAGGGCATTGTGAGTTATTGAACTGAGTTGGTGATTAATTTGCTTTAAATTGATAGTGTTAATTACTTGTTATTGAAGCTTTCTTAGTGAGCCATATGGAAGGTACTGTGAAAAGTAGGTTTGTCTGCAGCATTTGACAGCATCTCAGGAGAGCAGCAGTGAACAATCTTTTAACTGCTGGATGAAGGATGCAGAAGCAAAACAAAGCTGACAGTTTTTCCTCAAAATCTGTGTGCAGGTGAAAAGCAGGTGGCAGAGGAAGCTGTAACTCGGCATATCGGGATGCCAATAATCGTAGAAGAGGACTCAGAGGAAGGAGGTACAATGACTGCAATTCCAGCAAACCAGTGACTTGGTTTTTAATATCCCTTGAATATTTGGATCATGTTCTTGCTGCTTTGCAAAAGCTAGCTTTGGTTTTAGCCTGCATATTGTTGCATGAAAATTGAAACTTTGAAATGCCGTGGCAAAGTCCCAGAGTAAATTTTTTCTGCATAGATTTCATTGTAGTGTGTTCAGAGTTAAAACTGGTCCAGTTCAAAGCAGTCTCATTTTTCTGTAATACAAGTTTGTCTTGAGGAGTTTCCATGGTGTAGGGAAAAGTGATTTTTTTGATCAGTCACCCACTTACAGAAGTGTTCTGGTAACTCTGTGAACTTTGGAGAGAAGAGCCCTTGCTGCCCTCACCTTTGTTGAGGGGAGGGAAGGTTCCTCTCCAGCCTTACTTTGGGCTGGGCTGTGTTCCATGGGTTGAGCTCCAGCACAGCAATAGCATCCTCTGCTGTGCTGGAGGTTATCTGACATTGTCAGGGCAGGACTCTGGGAACTGCAGCAGGGCAGTGAATGGCTTTGCTGTCATTCAGGTTACTGGAAATAATGTAATTTTAATTGGGAAGCAATAATAAAGCAGAGTGATGCTTCTGCAGAGCAGCTCCACTGTAAGTTTTGAGCAATGTTGGATGATACTGAGCTGCTCTGCAACTCAGAAGCTTCAGGGTCTGTTCTCAGCTGCTTGAGAACATGGCACAGTATAAAAAACCTTCTGTAGTAAATTACTGTCCAAAATTGTATGTAATGGAAAGATATGTAATACAAGGGATATTTAATACAATTTAATACATTTAAGTGTATTAAAATACATTTTTGTGACATTGTATATTTATATTTGCTGTTTTTAGAAGCAAAGGAGCATCCTGTACTACTGAAGCAATATTACATTCTCTGGTTACTTTTATTTGTAGACAGTAGGAATTCATTCAGTTTTAAATGGTCAGATTGAAGGTGCCATGGAGCATTTTATACTGTACTTTGTTTACTTTCCCTTCATTTGTCCACTTGTTGTGGATAAAAAGTTTCTTTCTAAATTAGGAACATTCTCCCATTTCTCAGAATTTTCCAGTAAATTCTGAAGCATTAAAAATACCCATAAGCAGTCTCTTCAGATATTTTGTGAGTATTCCATTGTCAAATTCACAACAAAATCTGAAAGGTGTTGGTGAGGAGCAGAAAGGTTTTAAGATGGAGTAAGTTTTCAAGTACAATATTAATGGAATTTCAGTTGATACTTTGAATGACAGTGTGCTGTAGAATCCAGAAAGATTTTTTTTCATATTTAAAAATCATGGGGAGAGGGACTGGGAGGGGATCTCAAGAGCTTATCTAATTAATTTCCTGTGCTGGATAGAATTCATTCTATTTGAACAACTCCCATGAGGGAAGATGGATTTAAAAGCTTGTAAGAAATCTTTCTCTTTATTTTCTTTCAGAAGTATCTCTCCCCAAGAGGAGAAAACGACGTTAGAGGACCCAGTTGGAGAAGCACTAATGTTAATTTTAATGACAAAATGAAAATGTCAGAGGTAACACCAAGTGCTTGCTTTGGATACCTTTGAACATAACAGAAGTGTCTGGGACCAGAAGCACAGGTGATGCTGGAAGGGATGCTGGCAGTGACTGGGATACTCAGCTGTCTTGTGGTGCCTTTATCCACCTGGTGAACACTTCCTGTGGGAGACTGAAGTTGCTGTGGCCTGGGTGAGCTGGAAAGTGAAGGCTCAGAGAATATTTACCCATGTAAGAGATGTCTGTAATCCCTTATCTCTGAACATAAGGTTATTGACTGTTGGAAATTAGAGCAATAAATTATTTTTCACGCTTGACTTGCTCCATTTTATGGTGTGTGAACTTCACTGCTTATCATGGTTTGATCCCACACATGTGGAAATGAACTTGCTGATAAGCTTTTTGTTGTGCCCTGTCTCCAGCAGATCTGGAGTTACTGTGTATTAAAATGGAAGGAGGTAAAGGGTGTTCATTAATTCTGCAGATAACCCTCAGCTGTACAAGGGCAGGACTGAAATTCAAAATGATCTTTATAAATTGGAGGGGAGTGAAAGAAGTGGGTGCAGAAATAAACATGGATCTCAGCACTGAGAACAGGCACAGCATGGAGAAATATTTGCTTGGCAACAGTGCAAGTTCAAGAAGCAGAAGAAGCAAATGGACTGAGAATCATCAGCTGGAATGTTTTCTGTGAACACTGAAACCAGTACAATTTGTGTCACTCAACCTTGGAAGGCTGTAGCTTAAATATCCCCATCTGACCACAGCAGTTTAAGAGGAATGTGCAGTTACTCTCCTTGGAATTTCTCCAGTTGATCAAGCTGTTCTTTCAAGAAAGGCAAAGGAGTTAAGTGTCCTTTTCTAAAAAAAAAAAAAAAATTATAAATTTGAAATATTTTAAATACAAAAATAACCTAATTTGAATTAATTATTTTGCTAGTATGACTGTCAAAGGCCAGAGGAATTGAAGTGCTCTTACCTAGAAGAAAAAACATTTAAATGGAGATACAAATGGTTTTACTATCAAAGGTTTCCATATTAAATGTGTTGGTTGGCAAGGAGGAATGGGCCAAAATGTGGTTGGACACTGGAGAAGCTGATGATGAAATGCCAGAGTTGCACTTGACCTTGTTAATGAGAGAAGAGGAAACACTTTGTAGTAAAGCCAAATAATAAGACTATAATAATAAACCTTACTGCACTGTAAACTGAACAGTCACACAGTCAGTTGAGTAACCTAAATCTTGATAGTCTAATCAAAAGTCATTATTAGCCCAGATTTAGTTACTATAGAAAAAGAATACTACACAGAGTATAAACCCCTATAGCAGTAACAACACAGTTAAAGTCATCATACCTACATTTAGTTCCTACTCTTTTCTGGTGTATCATTCACTCTTCCTCTTTGGCCTGAGGTTGGGCTAAGGCTGTAGATGGTTCAGATGTGATCTTAAAAGGACTCATCTATGGCTATGAGTGTTTTGGAGGTATCATTTCTGTAAAGTTTGCACAGTTTGGTTTTATTTGGGTTTTCTGACAGTACTTTTCTGTTACCTGCACAAACCCTGCCTCTGTGCATTTCTTCTACTTTTTGATGAGCAGGTACAAAAAAACCAAAAGAGACCTCAAAGAGAAACTTAATCAGACTATTTTTGCTAAGGAACATGTTTAATACTGTTCCCTGAAATATTCACTTTTTCACAGCATGACCATCTCATTTACCTCTCCTTATACCTTTGAGCCCTCCCAAGAGCTGAATAAGTGTGGAATTTGTCACAATTTTTGATACTCAGTGACATGAGTCCCCCCTGCACTCATCTGCAAATGATGTACAAAACATGCAAAGGCTTGGCTAGGCACAGGGATGGGTGCATTCAACCAGAAGTTATTTTCATATTGTAATAATGAAAACAAATGTTCTGTAATTTGTTTATAAAATTACATAGTTGGAAAATGGAAGTCATGATTAAGAATAAACTTAGAACTGCTGACCATATGCATGGTGATGTTTCAAAATAGTAATCCTGATAATTTAGAGGCAGCTGTAAGCAGAGATTCACAATGGTGGTGTAATCTTTAAAAGAAAAAAAATCCCTTGCTGCAGTCTGATGGGCAATTACAGGCTTTGAAAAACAGGAGAGGGACTTCCTAAAATGCTTCATTGAAGCAAGCAGCTATCATTAAAAAAAAACCCTTCAACAATAACTCTGAAAACCCAAATAGTAATAGTAGTAGTAGACTTTCTGAGATCTAAATTCTCTCCTGGTTGTAGTCTCAGCTACTGCAGTGGTTAAAGTCTGCAAGGAAATTTAATCTCTGTAATGCCAGCCTAACTTCCAGCTGTGCTGGTGGAAAGGAGTGAGGCTGTATGACAGTGTGTATCTGGATGTTGTTTTCAGAAATAAATGGAACAAATATGTTTTGGCTGAAGCTTCTCTGAGGTAGATGCACAACTGTCCGTCCAAAAGTAATCACCATTTCTTTGGCAAAGGTGAAGGATCCTCTTAGTGGAGGCTGGAGCCAGTGCTCAGTGTTTGCAAGGATAATGTGGGTGATGAAAAACAAAATACACCTAAAACACCTGGAGGTGACATCTGCTTACAGAATTAGAATCAATTATCTTGGAGAAGAACCTCTGGCATCACTGAGTCCAACTTTTGACTGATCACCACCTTGTCAACCAGAGCATGGCCCTGAGTACAATGTCCAGGCTTTTCTTGAACACCTGGAAACTTTAAGTGAAAGTATACAATATATTTTTTATTCTTATTATTCAAGCAACCAACAAGATCTCTTTAAATCAAAGTAAGTGCAAAAGACTGGACAAATTAAGCTCAAATACCAGCTTAGGGATGCTCCTGTTAGCAACTGTGCTCAACCTGGAGGGTTTTGCAGCCTTCAAACTGAAGTTGAAATAGCAATATGGCAGTAATGTGAAAAAAATTCCAAATGCTATGGGTGACAGTGGAGATCTCTGTGTGTACAGCTTAGTGTCAATGTAGGTATCACCTGGAGAATAACTGGAGAATCCTGCAGTAAATGGGATTTTGCTGTTTGTTATAAGGCCAGATTGTTTACTGTGAAATTCTCTTATTGAGTGAATTTGTTTTGCTACCTATTGCACATTTCTACTGTAGTGAGCACGGAGAAAAATTGATTAATCACCATCTGCATAAAGACACATTACAAAGCTGGAGAGACTCTTCCACTCATTCTAAACCCTTTCTTTTTCAGACTAAAATTAAAAGCAGTCTGCTTTCTTTTGTTGCTTTCTTTTTCAGGATTCTAAAGGTAGATCTGATCCTAAAGGACTAAAAGATACTTTCAGGTTTATTCTGGTGGTAATACTTAAATGTCTTATGTAACTGGACTCTATGCAGAGTGTTTGTATTCTCTCATCACATGAGCCCTGCATAGCAAGTTTCTTCAAATGACACTGATATTTTATCCCTTCTTGTCTGGAGTGTTTCATTTTGAAGTCCATTCTGCCTCTGGAGTTGCCTATTTAGATTTTTCAAAGCTTGCTAAGTGGCTTCCTCAGCCCATTTTCATCTTGATCCTCAAATCTGGGCACATGATAAAGCCAGATAATGGAATATATCCCTCCTTCATGTGCACCCCAACGTTTGGAAATAGAACTCCTGAAATTTATCAGCTACAAGGAATTTAAAATGTGCTAAGCTCTGTCTTTCTCTTAGCACTTAGGATTGTAGAAGAACCTGAGATGGATGGGACATAGAACAGTCATTGAAGTCCAACTCCTGGCCCAGCATGGAGTAAAAATGTGCCTGAAAGCTTCATCCAAATGCTGAACTCTGTCAGCCTTGGTGACCAGAGCCCTGGGGAGCCTGTTCAGTGCCCGAGCACCATTTGGAGGAAGAACCTTTTCCTGATATCCAACCTGAACCTCCCCTGACACAACCTCAGGTCATTCCCTCAGGTCCTGTCAATGGGCACCAGAGAAGAAATCAGTGCCTGCCCCTCTTCCCCTCAAGGGGAAGTTGTAGACTGTGATAAACTCTCCCCTCAGTCTCCTCCAAGCTGAGCAGACCAAGTGACCTCAGCTGCTCTTGTGTGGCTTCAGCTCTGGGCCTTTCACCATCTTCACAGCCCCAGGTCAATCTCTCTGCTGTGACACAGTTTGGCTGTAAGAGAAACCATCAAAGGAACATTACCTTTCAGCCACCAGACACCAAACTGCTTTCTCTTTAGTCACAGCAATGTAAATCTGGGAAATATGGGAAATAAGGCAGGACATAACCCTTGGCTGCTAAGGGTCGTTGGAGATGGGGAGTAACTTGGTTTTTTGTTATTAAAAACGGGGTTTGAAAATTGAGGTAGCAATTAAACCTGAGACAGGCTCGGTGCACCCTGCTGGGCAGGTGATTCTGACACAGGGCTGGAGCTGTCTCTGTCCATCCCGCTGGGCTGGGGGCTGCCCGCTGTACTCACACGTGCTCAGCCCAGTCCTGAGCACCATCAATAGCCACGGTACAACATTTTGGAAGACGCAGCCAAGCCCCCAAGCCGCATTTCGGGGTGCAATGTGGCCGAGCCCCGTTTGGCG